ATTGACATCCTGAATTTTTTGATTATCATTAGCTCTTCTTTATTGTTTTGCCATATGTATTTCTATTTCTACACAGTGTAATGAGGGGTCCATATTGTATGTATTCTTCTACAACCTGTTTTTTTTTTTTAATTTTTTTTTAAAAGATGACCAGTAATGGGATCTTAACGCTTGATTTGGTTTTGTCAGCACCGTGCTCTCCCAAGTGAGCAAACCGGCCATCCCTATATAGGGATCCAAACCCATGGCCTTGGTGTTATCAGCACTGCATTCTCCCAAGTGAGCCACGGGCTGGCCCTGTCTTTTTTTCAATATTTATCAATATTATATTCTTAAGATTAAGCCATGTTGAGGATTATAACTTTCTTTCATTCATTTTTTTTGACAGTATGATACTAGGCATTGTTTGACTATCACAAATTACTTTTCCATTCTACTGATAATGGACATTTGGGTTGTTTCCAGTTTTTTATTATTATATAAAGGATGCCACTGTGAAATTCTTGTATCAGCCTCCTGGTACACATATATAATACTTTTCTCTGGGGGATATACCTAATAGTGGAATTGTAAGGTCAGACAATATACATATATTTAACTGTACTAGGTTATGCCAAACTGTTTTCCAAAGTGGTTGTATCAATTTGTGCTCACACTAGCAGTGTATAAGTGCTATTGCTCTAATCCTTCCTTGTCAACACTTGTTGTAGTCATACTTTATATTTTATGTGAATCTGGTAGGTGTAAAGTAGAAGATCATTGTGGTTTTAATTTTCATTTCAAGGATTACTATTGCTCATATGTGTTATTCTTTGTTCCTCTTTGTGAAGACTGTGTTCAAGTCTTTTGGTTGACTTGATAGTCTGCTTTGCTGTCTTTGTTTCTGTGTATTCATGTAGCTACACAGCACTGTTGATGGAGGGTTTTAGCATTTTAGCAATTATATTTTTCACTTCTGTGATTAACATTTGGTTCTTTTTCAGATATGCCTGAACACTTAAAAAGGTTTTAGTTTCAAAATATTCTGTTACTTTTTTCCATTTTATTATAATTTTTAAATGTAAAAGAATTGTACAGTGAATACCCATATACGAGAATATACCCCCTCGATTCTGCAGTCAGTATTTTGGGATATTTGTGTTTTCGCATATTTATCCACTTATCCATTTCTCTTTCAGTTCATTAGTACATCTTATTTTTTGATGCATTTTGAAGTAAATTGTAGACATCAATAGACTTCACCTATAAACACTTCATTATATATGTATATGTTTACTTCTCTTTTCTTTTTTTTTTTTTCCTTTTTGTCTTTTTTCGTGTCCGGCAACGGATCGCAACC